TCACAGCCTCCTTTCCCCCATAAACTGTATGTGGACAAACCCTTCCAAATTCAATACCATCCTGACAAGCTAAGCAAGCGATTCAACACTATCACACTACTGTGCAGCAGCATAAAGGTTTTAGGGGCAATCAACCGGGTGACATAGGAGAGTGAAGTGTGGCATTGATGAGGTTAAAGGGGCCATGGCAGGTAAAGCCCAAAAGCAATTTACCGTCAGAGGGGGAAGAGGGGAACTTTAAAGCCGGTCAAGGAATCCTGCTGGCTCCACTCCCTAATTATTTTAGCAGACAATGAGATCATGCTCTGCAGGAACAGACGCAGAGAAAGGGGAGCTATAACTAGACACCACTGCAAATAAATTTCACTCCACTTTAGCAACTAGAACAAAACGTGTTGCGTTCACTTCACAAAAAGTTTAAGGTCAGAGGTCTGCCACCTAGGAGCAGCCCGGGGAGTCAGACAGACCTGGTTTTGAGGTCCAACTTTGAATCACTCTCACCATGTGACTGTAAGCAGGACGCAATCTCTCTGACCCCCCCTTGCTCTGCAGAGCAGGACTAACTGTAACAGTCGTTTCCCAGGGTCGTCCGGAGAAGTTCAGAGTGTGACCTATGGAACAGAGCACTGGGCAGTGCTGGGCACAAATGCATACAGAATAAATGCACGCTCGGCCCTCCTCCGCCGCCCCTCCCTTTACTTGCACGTGTAGAGGAGATTGTTTTCCGTGAAAGCCTGGCTGGGTGAAGGAAATGTTAGAGAGGCTGAGTCAGAGCCCAACAGAGGCTTTTTATTAAATGGAATTTACCCTGATAAATCATTCCATATGAGATGTCCAGATAAGCAAACTTGCCTCACACAAGTGTCTTTGATTTCAGGACCCAGAAAACAACTGCTTGAGATGCACTTACTATGCACCCAGGGTGACCAGAAGCAGATTTACCATAAAGCTAACGAATTGAACCCCAGGCTGCTCGCTTCACAGCCACAAATGGAGGCCCAGGCAGTAGCCCCAGGAACACATTCACAGCCATTTGCTTTTGTAAATTTGGCAGTGGTAAGATTCTATGACCTTTTTTGCTTAAGATCACTGCCTCTTTTTTACTCTGATTTCTCTTTGGCCACATTTTCCCTCCTTTTGGGTGACTTTGAAGAGCCATGGGCATTTTTAGGATCTGGTTAAGAGGAATCTGACTTACGGATACCTTTACTTTGGGTTAAGATATATTTATGCACCTTTACTTTGGGTTAAGATATATATTATGCACCTTGGGTGCATCCCTTTAGGTCACCTACTTCTGTCTTTTTGAAGGGGGCCGAGGCAAGATGAGAAGAGAAACAACTCATCTCCCAAACTGGCTACATTTCCTGAAGTAGGTGGGTTCAGTGATACAGTGAACCCGGAACACTGGGAATTCTTTGTGTATTTGCTGTTGCTTAAAAGAGTTAAATAAAATAAAAATATAAGGTTCTAGACTATACAGGTGGATTTTCTTGTAAGACTGAGTCCATACTGCAGGAATATTTTAGGAAAGTACTTTTCGTATAATGTGAAATAAAACACACCTGAGTTTTTGTGTGTGTGTGTGTGTGTGTGTTTTTTAATGTTTCTGCTAAGGTCTTTTCATGTACTCTTATCTATCCCTTCCCTCCAGCAAGGATTCTAAACTCTTTATTCCCTCCCACTATTGCAGCTTCTACACTAAAGCAAACCCAGCTTGATAATCAGTTTTTCAAAGCACAAAGTAACACTGTACAAGCGTGAAAAAGTGAAAGAACTTCTTTCTAAATTCAAGCGATTAACAAGGAAACATTCAGGTAGGCAGAGTCCCTGCAGTTTCTGTTCTTACCCCAGGAAACTTCAAGGAGCCGCATGCTGGAACTGGTTTTCATAATGAAAACTCCAGACGTGCCCACAAACTCACCGTGCCTTTGGCCCCCGCCTCACCCCTACCCCAAACTGCATCGACCCAGAAGCATGAACTTCTAAGGAAGGGAACATAAGGCTTTCCTCTGATTTCACAAATCTGTCCTCCATCCCCCACGCGCCAGGGCGGCCTGCCCCTCCTTCCGCGCACAGCCGCGCAGCCAGGTTGGGGAAAGAGTGTCAAGTCGTGAGACCAGAACAAAACCAGGGAGAATATGTCGGCTCTTCCCCTTGCCTGGAAAAGTACTTAGCAAGACTGACGCCCCACCCACCGTGTATGCCTTCCACGGCAGTCCTGGTTGTTGTAGCAAAAATAGAGTTCCTGCCTTTAAAACCTGCATTTTCTCCCAGACTGTGAGGCATCGGTTAATGATCGCCAGCCGCTTTCTGTGTCGCAGCACCACATGACCTGGACACGTGACCTGAAGCCGGCGGGGGTGGTTCCTTGTATTTGAATAAAAAGATCAAGCTTATTCTTGCACTGAAAGCCCGGAGAACTCGTCCGTGCAACGTGATCGCCGAGGGGGCGTGTGGCGCAAGGCGCTGCAGCCCTGGGAGGCTCTCAGCGCCCAGCCTGTCGCGCCCCGGCGCTGGGAGTCGTTTTCTAAGGAACGTAAAACAAACGTGGTTTTAGGTTTTCTAAAGTGAGATCCATGTTCCCCTCGGAAAATCTATGAAGATGCTGGAAAAAGAGCCCCAGTTTTTCTAAGCCCCCGTGGCCGGCCCTTTTGTTAGGCTAAGATAGGACTCCTGTCCAGCACACAAATAAAAAAGAAAACAGTCAATCCAATCTCCTCTTCAACTGAAAATTCAGGTTTGGTTCAACCTTTGACTATATCCTTGTTTCCCTCCCTAGAAAGTCTTCAAAATACATTATTTTGTACTTACAAAAAATGTAAACTAAAAATGGCGTTTTTTAAATTTAAAATTTAAATGGCATGTTCATTTGGTGTGTGTGTAGTTTTTTCCCCCCCTGAGGTTTCTAGAACATTAGCCAGTAAATTTTGATTCAGCACATACTGCAAAGGAGAGAGCAGAAGGATTAGTCTTTTTACACGTGGGAAGAGCTGGTTATCCCAGAGCAGGTGGGGGATGGGGGGTTTTGTGTGTGTGTGTGTGTGCGCGCGCGCGTCTGTCCATGTGTATGCAACTATATGCAGATTTGCCTCAAAAGCATCCCCCCAACTAAGAAGGCAACATCCTTACTGTGCACATTTTCATATACTCCCCCCCAGGGCTGTGGAAGGCCTGCCGCATTCGGCCTGTCGTGTCCCAACGGGCCGTCTTCAGTGGCGGCTCAGGCTCCAGGAAGGACGAGCAGCAGCCCTGGCATGAGTCTGTCCGGCCCAAGGCCTTCTCTGACTGGCACTGCAAGGCCTTCCACAGCAGTCACTCTTCTGCGCCGCCTGCCCTCGGGGAGAGCAGGCCAGCCCAGGCCAGGTTTCTGCTGCAGATTCATGCACCCCTCAAATGCTGGCTGGGTGCCTCCTCCGCCTGGCACTAGTGCAGGTGCCAAGGCAACTGGTGTGAACAAGGTCAATGGGACCCCGGCCACCATGGTCACTCCTGCGAGGAGAGGCCATCTCCAAGAGGCTGGTGACGGGCATGAGGCTAAGCCCGTGAACCCCCACTCTGTGTTATGGCAGTTGCTCAGATGACAGGGCCCTCCTCCTCTGGCCATGGAGGATTAACTAATTTGCCCGTTGATGCTTTGGAAACACATGTTAAATCTTTGCTGGCAGACACTGGTGTGGTCTTGTTTCTTAGAGACCTTCTCGGTCAGACAAGGAGTCCTGGCTGCGTTTCTGATCCTGCCCTGCCAGCAGTTTCTGTGGAGACGCCGCGTTGCTGGGAGCTGCGTGACTGGGACTGCCTCAGGGCCCGCAGGAGGGCCCGGCCCGCCAGCTGTGACGGAGGCTTCCCGGGGAGCCCCAGCCTGGGCGTCCACACCTTCTGCCGCCCTGCTTCTCCTCGGCCCTCCTCAGGGCGCCGCCGAGCCGTCTGCAAGGCCGGCCTGTCCACAGCGCCAGAGCGGTGAGAGCCAGCCTCGGGCAGCCTGCCAGAGGACAGGATGCCAATTCTGCTTGTATTCCTTGATGAGAGAGAGTTATGAGGCCTTTCCTACTTGGACAAGGCCCGACGTGGATCAGAGAATGGAAGTGTGTTCCGGAATTGGCAGAGCTTCTGACATCCTGAAGGAGAGCTGGCCACGGGTCAGAAAGGGAGAGAGATACGGGGAAGGATGGAGCTATCAAGTGCTTGATGACACCTTGACTGGATGGTCATTCAGTGGACACCGTTCTCTACAGAACTATATGCCCCGCCAAAGGAAAAGGAAGACGCAAGCTTAAAAGCTGGAAATGCAGGCACACTAGTCTGCTGGCTGAGGGCAGTCCTGTTATCCAAGGGCCTCAGAAAAGGTCCTTGATATCTATGTCTGATAAGCAGGACAGGTGTCAGCCCTTCGCCACCCAGGCGTGGGCTCCAGCCTTCCCCAGCCCTGCCCTGTGTGCACGGGCAGGGGGAGTTGTTCATGCTGGAAGGAGGGAGCGCACACGCTCTGGCCCTTGGAACTCAGGGTATTTTGAACCAAATTCCTTCTCCCAGCCAATCCCAGCAATGCTTCCCATAGTCCCTTGTTTTCCTGAGAGGAACAGTAACTGCTTTTTTCCCTCTGCAGGTGGGGAATGTGAGGCAGAAACATGGTTACACCCCCAGCATCAACAAGTCCTTGGAAAAGCAAAAAAGAAAATGACTGTCTTTGCAGGCTCGTTTCTTGCAAAAGTCCGCACTACTGAGTGTCAAGAGTTGTGCGGCCCCTCATGGAAAATGGAGCAACAGTTCCTCAAAATATTAATCATCAAATTACCGTGTGATCCAGCAATTCCCCTTCTGGGTGCACACCCACAGGAATTGAAGGCAGGGACTCAAACAGATATTTGTACATAGCAGCATTATTCACAATAGCCAAAAGGTAGATGCAACCCAAGTGCCCATGGATGAAAGGATAAACAAAATGTAATACATACATACAGTGGAATGTGATTCAGCCTTAAAAAGGAAAAAATTCTGACTCATGCTACAGCATGGCTGAACCTTGGGGACATTATGCTAAGTAAAGCCATGACAGAAGGGCAAATCAGAAACAGAAAGTGGAATGTGGTTGTCAGAGGCCAGGTAGAAAGGCAGGTGGCGACTTAGTGTTTAATGGGTACACAATTTCAATTTGGGAGGATGAAAAAGTTCTGGAGATGGAGGGTGGTGATTTACAGCAATGTAGTATATTTTACCAGGAAAAGAATTTGTTCTTAAGGAGTGGCCAAGCATCACCTACACGTTTTTAGAGTTTCAGGCAATCTTTGCTCTGAAAGTTGTGTCCTGTGTATCAGCAGGATCCCTGGGAATTACCCACCAATGCTACCCCTCGTGATGTCCCAGGAAATAAAGTTAAAAAGTGGCCACGTGGGCTGTGGTGCCATCTCTCTTGTCTGTTAGCCTTGGTTCCATGATGCTCACAGCGCTCCTCCTTCATCAGACCATCCTCATCCTCACCTCGCCCCTTCTGCCCATTGCTCTGATTTGCTAGAAAGAGGAATGGTATCATACAAAAAGGAAAATAAAGGATTAAACTCCAGCTACCCATCCAGTTACCATTGTCTCCAGTGGGAAATATGTGACAGATTTGAGGCACACCTTTTTGCCTGCACTTATAAATTTTCTCTCATCTACTGACAGATTTTGCAGAAGGTCACGGGAAATTTTTGATGGAGTGTTAGCATAGGAGCTGGGCTTCGAGGGCACAAGAGAATAAGATCCCAGGAAACATGAGGGGAGAGACTACAGACAGCATGTTCTAAATGTTTTCTGCCTTGTCTTTATGACTTAACATCGAAAGAATAGTACATGTTACCAGGAACCACAAAGAATATTCTATACTTATATAAAGCTTGTACTTAATAAAAACAAGATCCTTTGGATTGCTAGAACGGAAAAATAAGTCTCATTTGAAGAAGCCCCAGTCCTCCTTGGAAGAAAGTAAGCTAATGGTAAGAATGGCCTCAAATTGTTGTCTATATGAACTGCTGGCAGTTGCCATGAATAATCCATAAACACAAAAATAGGTCAGGGACAGGCAACTTCTGCTGCGGCTTTCCAGAAAACTTGGCCCTTGCTTCCCCCTTCATCAAGTCAGACCCATCCTGAGCCTATGATAAGTACCTCAAGTAGACTGAAAAGTCATTAGGAAAAACGTATGGATGACAAGGCCGAAAATAAAGATACTACCTAACCTTTCTCACCTACCTGCGTCCTTGGGTTACATGCTACACAGAAGACTGCTTACTTAGCTCTGTGCTTGGTGTTTAATGAATGTTAGATTTATTGGGTGGCATTATTATTGTTATTGCTATTCTGGATACCTCACAGATAGAGCAATCATATTTTCCAAGTCCCAAACAGGAACTTCTGGTGTGAGATTTGTAGCAGAGAGCAAGATAGATTATTTCAATCCAAGACTGTCTAGAAAATTCCAGGCTGTCTGTAGCCCTTCTCATTGGCCCACCAGGGACAGATCTTCTAGCTTAATTTATGAAACGTATCCAAAGTTCCCGTATCTCTGGGGATCTACAAAGGGTCACCCAGCTAATCCAAATCCTAGCTGCTGCATTCACTTCAACTCACAAACACACACTGAGCACCTAAACGTGAAGTACTGAGTTGAGTGCTAGGAGGAAGAGAAGAATAAAAAGAGAAGTTGCATCTGCCCAGGAGCTCAGGGGCATGAGGGAATGGGCAGGGCTGCCCTATGCTGAGCACGGGGAAGCAGGGGAGCTCAGACTCACTGTTAGTCACTGATAACACCTACCCATACCTCAAGGATTTTGATGGCAGTTTAAGGGATTTACACTTGATTAGGACCCAGCCGGTAATAAGTAATCTCCATGCAAATGGGGGGGATAAGATGACATAGCTGGAGCCTGGCTGGGCCTCCAACATACCAAGACAATGATCACAGCTCAAGATTCTCATGCTCCCCAGAGATTTCCACTTTCCCTGTGCATACACATCTTTCTGGAACATTCTTCCATAGTCAAAATGAACCTGTCCTTGCTAATGTGTTGGGGTTGGGGGGTGGGGGTAATAGATTCCAAGACTACAAGCCCCCCCAGGGGATGGACTTGGGTTTGATGGTGGGATTTCACCGCACTGAACAGTGAGGGAAGAATTTAGAGCAGACATGCTTTTCCATTTCCCTGCCCTCCAGTGATGAAAGCCATCTCCTTTGCTTGCCCACAGAGCTGCCTCCAAGGGGAAAATTCTTCCCCTCATGGCCGTATCCTAAGCAGCAGCCAGCACAAAAGCATTCCTAGGCCCCTTCCTAAAGCAGGCAGACAGCATTGTGGGTGCCTGTGAGAGAGCTTGCAGGTGGAACACCCTGAAAGCTGATGCAACTCATGGCCCCAATATGAGAATACTGTCACTTTTTCAATTTAAGACCCTAGAGCCTTCTCAGTTTGTGCTCTTCACTGCAATCATGGTCAAGTTTAAAACCAAAGATGTTAGTGCCTATTATTTGAGGGCCCTTTTGGTACCACCAGAGCTGACAGAGCTGCTCAGAGCATTGAAAAGATGGAGAGTTGGCAAATCTGGAACACCCTGGCCGAGTGGCAGCGGCCACGGGCCAGGGTAGCTGGCTTCAGATGGGAACTGGGGGCATTTCTGGCTCAGCTCATCCTAGGCCTTCTATTGGCACTAAGTAATCTTCTGGCTTGAGCTGTTTCCCCCAAAGGTCCCTGTGTCAGAGAGAAAGATTCGTTCATTTATTCAACAATTATATTGACCCTTTATAGGGTCAATTCATCAATCAGAATGAATAAATTCAGCTTAGAGGGAAAGGAAGACAAAACAATACTATGCAGCTTCTGTGTGGGCCCAGATGCAACCAAGGGAAGCTCAGGGCCCTAAGGCGGGGCAAAGCGGGCATCCCAACCAGAGGGTTGGGTCAGGGACAGCTTCTCGCTGGAAAAGGACTGGATATTGAAGGAAAGGCATAATTCAAGAGCCGAAGTGAAAGAAGGCACCCCAGGGTGAGGGGTCCATGTGAACAAAGTGTGTGGAGGCATACGTGTCCCGTATCTTACATTATGACATCGAATCCCCTGTCTCTTGGGGTTTGGGCTGCCCTGGCTGGTCATCCTGGGACCACCTACCCTGTCTTGTTTCTAAATCTCAGCGTTGTGGCCTCTGGGAAGTAGGAGATTCCAATGCTCAGGATTTGGAAATGCGGCCTGTGCTTGCCTTTCACCTTTCTGGAGTAAGAAGGTGTGGGCCATCTGCGCTGCTGCCAGGTAGGAAACGGCAGGTGCTAGAGCTAGACAGGAGCACCGAGGACAAATCTCAAATGGCCTCCAAGGCCGTGCCAATGAGTTGCCACATGTCACATAAGCACAGAAGTGTCTGTATATTATCAACTTGTTCCATTTGCAACATGATGCAGAAAGGCTCTATTTTAAACCAGAATAGACATGATGAAAATGGTGCTTTGCCAACCATTCTTAACCCCCACGTTCAGGACTATGAGTGGGGAGGTGGTGGGGGTAGGGGAACCTACTGGTACTAAAATCCCGTAAGAAATGATAGATGGCGGCACTTTACCTCATTAGCTTTTATCTAAGTTCATGGAAAATGGCTTCTCCCTCCTTTGTCTTAAAATTTACAGTCGGCTCCCTTATGTACCTGAGGTTGCAATCCCAGATGGGGAGGTGTTCTGTCTCAGGCCACGTTCAAGGGAGGAACTCGCTTCTCAAGTCTCAGTTCCAAGATAAATATGTTGCTCCTGCCATGCACTGAGCTTCCCCAAACACAGCCATGAGTAAGATGTTTCATGCGATGCGATGCCAGAGGTGTAATTAACTTCAAAGGGTATCAATTTCATCATGCTCAGGAAAAGTGTTGAAAAAGAAAAGCATTAGTAAAAAACCTAGAACACTCCACCACCTAAATTCATCTCTGGGAGAAGGCAAATAAACTGGAGTGATCTCTTGGGGCACCAAATTTGCTCCAGGAGGCCTCTCTGCTAACGTGGCATTCATTGGAAAAGAGAGTATATATGCATGGGTCTTAAATAAAGACTGTTTCCCAAGCTAATCTTTATGAAAAGACACCTCCGGGATTCTAGTTACCATCATGTCTCCTGAGCAAAAGAGGTAATGAATGTGAAAATCACTTGCGCCATTAAAGAAAAACCAACTGTGTAATTGTCACGTGCTGATATTATTCATGTTTTTAAAATCATGTTTGTGGGGAAAAAGACAAGAGCAAGGGCTCTAGAGAGAGATGGCTTGTTTCAAATTCCAGCAGGGACTCTCTGCTCCATGACCTTGGGAAAAGTACCTGACCTCTCTGAGCCTGTTTCCTCAGCTCTAAAATAGAGAAGGCACGTCGCAGCGACCTCAAGGAGTTGGCAGGGCTTCGATGAGTCACTCCACAGGAAAACTTGGGGCTCAGACTGGCGTGTACTAGATAGCCAATAAATGTTAACTCTGATTATGGTTGTGATTCCCACCAGGAGCCAGTTCTCAAGCTCTGTCCAGGACACAGCCCTTCACGTTGCAAACACAGACTTTGCCCCATGGCTAAAATTTCTGCCTCTCACCTCGGCCAGCACCTTCAAAATGCATGTTTTTAAGGAACTAGGTGAGAAGATGCGGATGAGTCAGCTAGAAAAAAATCAAATGAAAGTCACGGCATCTTGTCCTTATGTGAGAGGCAGCAATTTTAACCTGCCTACCTAAAATTTACACTTTAATTTTCAGTGGGTATCTTTCTTCGGCTCATGCTTAAGAAATAATACAGATGCCTCAGAAATAATACAGATTTTTTAATGAAGAATCATGCCAGGAGGGTCCCCATTCAAACCCACTTAAATAAAGACATGCTAAGCAGAGAAGCAATATATATCACGATTCAAAATCCCCAAAGTCACACTTCACCAAAATTCCAGGTTATTAAGGATGAGATTGATAGTATCCTTCTAAAGACAGAAATCTGGGAGAAAATAGACAAAACATTAAAAAAAAAACCCAAAACTTACAAAGTAAAAGAAAACCAGATCTGTACCCTTTATACCTGCCTGTAGTTCCCAGGTTTGTTTGACATTAAAATACTATTTTTTTTTTTAAAGCCAGATCAGGTTTCACAAATTAATCTGTGTGGCTTCTAAAGAGGTAATCATTTGGTTTGTCCATCAGTTGGCAGCCTGACTTCTGATTTTAAATTTCGCCACCCTGAATTATCATCATCTTTTAAATGTAAAAATAGAGAGAAGCAGGGCCTTGCCCTTAACTTATTCTGGGCTCTCCTATTTGCCTGAAGTCAGGCTCCATTTAATACCGTCAGAATTTGCTCTTGCCTGGAAGCAAGAGACAAGTATGTGTGTTCTAAATATGGGAACAGCGAGTACAAATAGATTGAAGATTTGCTTTGAAGCTCGATGTTGCCAATGCAGAGCCTCTCCCCAAGTGGGGAAGCAGACAGCTGGTGGGGCAGAGCGAGAGCTCCTTGCTTTTAACAGCTGACATACTCATTCTGGGCTGCGTCTGGTTAGACTGAAGGTCAGGAATCTTTTGACCTTAGTACTAACGGGAATCTCCTGGGAATCCTGAGAGTGGCTGAATAAGGGCAGTCATATTCCTAATAATTAATAATGATGGTAATGCCCAGGGTTTTCTTGTTTTAGTGCTTTTTATCCCCTAAAGGATTCAAATCACTTCACAGACCAACTGCTTCACCCACTGGTGACCTGTAACCCACTCAGGCATAGAATATCGCCCCAGTGTCAAGAATACAGCCACACAAAGCCTGTTTAAGCATGAATTGAAGAAAGATACCCACTGAAAATTAAAGTGTAAATTTTAGGTAGGCAGATTATAATTATCCACTTGAAATCAAGCCAAGAAATGAAGTTTAATACCCTTCTTTTGTGAAAAGCAGCCAGGCAACTTTCCTGACCATAAATAGCCCTCAGATTTTCTACTCTCCTAATTCAGGGTTTCTTAACCTCGGCACTACTGACATTTGAGGCTGGATAATTATCTGCTGTGGGGTGGATGGGCTGTCTAGTACACTCCGGAATGTTTAGCAGCAGCCCGGGCCTCCACCTACTAGAGGCCAGTAGTGGGTGCATGCACACACACACACACACACACACACAGTTGGGACCACTGAAAATATCTCCAGGTGGTGCCCAATGTCCCCTGGGAGCACACTCTTCCTCAGTTGAGAACCACTCCTCTGACTCAAAACAATTGGCGAGGTAGGTTGGAAGCTACTGAATTCCCACTACCTTTCTTTCCTCCGGGTTGCTTAAAGGACTTGGGAAAGGGATAGTTTATCTGCATAGGGCTTTTAGGATTCAGAGAAACTTTTACTAGGGACTAGGTCTTCGATCATAACTTTCATTATGAAACTTAGATTATGATATAGGAACCTGAAATCAGGTCCCCCTGCCACCCAAAGAGATCAAAGAAATAATGCAATCCTCGACTAGCAGATGCTGCCCTCCTCTAGGCATGTAACTTCCCCCCGCGTGGCTGCGGCAGGGTGCTGTGACAGCTTCAACATGCACTGTGCCCACCCACATCTCAGACTTCCTGGGGTCAGAGTTCCTCTCCCTGTGGGTTTCCCTCCATTTTGGTTTGATGTTTTTTCACAATTGCAACTAGATTATACATTTTTGGCCAGAATGCCACAGAAATGTTGTTGGAGCCCCTCCCTCCAAAAATATATCTGAAACCTAAGTTGCATGAAACTGTATCTTTGCTGTGTGAGATCCACGCTGACATTTTCTATTATTATTTTAAATGCTGGTTTCACAACCGCATTGCTTCACAGCCTCTAATGGGTTAGAAAACACTGCCCAAGGCCAGCTGGTGTCTGAGGCCTGCTCCTCCCACCCACTGATTCTTTCTTGAGTCTCTCTCCTTTCTCTGCCTCAGTGGCACCCCACGGATTGGATTTTCTTCATGCCTCTTACCAGCTCTGCCTTGTCAGCATTTGGACTTCCTGCCCTCGCATCTCGTCTGGTCCTACCTCACTATTCTCATTCCCTCAGGGAGCTGACCAGCATCTCTCTCAGGGGCCCCACACAGGTGACCCCGTCCCTGCTCTGCTGCCTGTGTTTTGGGCAGACTTCCAGGTGCCGCTGGGAATGTCCATGCGGGGTCCTGCAGTCACTAACCTCAACAGGCCCAAAATGATGTTTATTTAATGCTCGCTCTCCCTCTCTCCCTCACGAACTGGATCCCCTTCCCCACATCCCATACCTTACCCTTTATTTATACGTGCCAGCTTTCACTGCCCTGCTCCTGGGATGCCACCCAGCTGTCGGCTCTGTTGTTTTCCATTCCCGAATCCAGGGGTTCTCAAACTAGAGAGAACATCAGAATCACCTGGAGGGCTTCTTAAAGACAGCTGGCTAGGGCCTGTACCCCCAGACTGTGATTCAGTGGGTCTAGGGCAGGGACCCCCCAAATCTGCATTTCTAACAAACTCCCAAGTGAGGCTGCTGCCGCTGTGAAAACCACTGCTGGAACCATCCCACACTGGAATGCCAGACTCAACATGCACTTTCCGGACTGTAGGGAACCAGCAGTGGTTCCCTGTGACCAACCTAGCCAGCAGCATCTCACCTGAAGCCACTGTTTCCCCCAATCGGAATGCCCTGTCCGTCCCCTTGCCTTCCAAGGACTCAAATCTCCACCATTCTGAAGGGACTGGCTCCGAACCAGCAGCCCCAAGACTTCTCCGGCCTCCCCCGAGTTCTTCCACTGCGGCGATGAGGGGGATCACCCCGGCCACACTGGGCCTGCCTCCCAGCCCTCCAGCGCTCCCGGGGTGCGGGCTTCCAGGAAGCTGCCCTGCTCCGCGCTCACAGCACTGCTTCGCTGGCTTCTTTCCCCGCGGCCCCCAGGCCCCCGGACTCTCACCCGCACGCCCTCCCGCACACACGGGGGCAGACACCGCTTCAGGGGCTGCACCCGGGGCAGACACGGGGATACGTCGGCCAAAGCACAGTCTTCCTGCAGCCCGTGTCCTGGGGACTGGAATCTGCCCTCGCTCTCCAGGACCCGCTGATCGCGGGGGGCCGTGCTCCCCGAACAGGTGCACCGGGCCTGGCTGGCTTACGATGTCCCCAAGGGCCAAGGCAGGGGACATCTGGGCTCCGCGAATATATTTCCGTCTCGAACTTTTCTTAGAGCGTCCGGGGAGGAGGCCGTGTGTCTCCCGGTGGATCGAATCAGGAATTGGCGAAGGGGGCTGCCGCGCAGACCCTCCCGGCCCGGGGGCCGCCGCATTGCCGCGTCCCGCCGGCAGGTGTCCCCTTCCCGGCCTGGGAACCGGCCGTGCCTCCGCCAAATGGAGGCCGCGGGAGGCGGACGGGGTGCCGCGGGGAGCGAGAGGGGCGGCCGAGACCCGTCGGGGAGGCAGTGCCGGTCTGGCCTGCAGACCCCCGGCTCGTGCCTGCGGGGAGGCCAGCAGCCCCCGGTCACCCCAAAACCCAAGGCCGTCGCCCAGTGCGGGACCGCGACCCTGGGAAGTTTGATGCCACGTTTCTCCTCGCCGTCCCAAATATGAGCAGGAAAAACGGCCTGCTGCCCCAGTAACTTTTCCCTTTAGGGGAATTCACTTTCCCAGTCGGTTTTGTTTTGAAAGAGGCCCACTTACTGGGTAATGACAGCAGCCAGGGAGGCGCAAGTCCGCTGGTAGCGATCACTTTATTCTTGTTTAACAAATCTTTATTGATCCTCTGTGGGGCACCGTGCACCACGTGGGAGGTTTAGTGGTGACCAAGGGCTCGGATCCTGCCCTCACTACCCAGACCACCAAAGAAAGCGGTTTTCAGGTGACAGCATGTATTTGTGGTGCCCACTACTTGAAAATCCAAGACAATATTTTGAAAGAAAACCCTGCTCATATTCCAAAGCATGCAATCTGGGCCGTTGGTTAGAAGACGGTAAATGCAGGCTTGCTTGCCTTCTTTTAGACCTTCGGGCTTCATTTAACAGTAATAAGAAACCTTTACTGCAGACAGTTCCAAACCTTTACTTTGGGACTGGGACCGCACTAGGTGCTGGGGATACAACAGTAGCAACATGTGTCCCTGTCCTTGAGAAACTTGCAGCCCCTGTGAGAGCCACAGGCCAGTGAAGGATGAAAGACAATGACAGTGCAGCTCTGACCCTGGTCTGACCCTGGTTAGCTGTCTTAATTCCACTGATTTACTCTGTAATGCACAAGAGGACCCAGGAGAGAAAGGCCCAGCAGGCAGCATTGGGTGGGACCCAAAGGCCAGCCCAAACAATGACAGTCCTGTAAGAAAGCCACCGTCTGGTGCTGAGGTCCAGGGAACACTGGTGTGTCCTACATCCCAGGACGCAGTTACAGAATCATCCCAATGTCTGACCCTGAGTCAGCTCTGGCTTTCCTGATGGCATTTCCCTACAAATGCATTTCCTGGGATGTTCCTAAGAACTAGAGTCACACATTCACATACTTCGGTCCCTTCTCATGCAACTACATTCTAGAATTTGATACTGGGAGAGAGAGAAGTTTCACTGCTGTGTTTACCTCAGTAAATATAGGCTCAGTCATTGTTTTCATGTGCTGAAGACATGTCCAATTATGTTTGGACTTTTTTGGATTGGCTTTTTGATACAAGTTTTGAAAATTTAGAATCCCAGGAGAGACTTTCTTTTCAACTTACTAGGTTAACAGAACATTAACTGTGGGATTCCGACCTCAGACGTTTTTACAGACAGCAAAAATCTCATCACAGAGCCAGAGAAACAGTCCAGGTTCCCTTGACACACTTCCAAGCAGAGCAGTCCTCTGCTCCTGGCCTGCTTCAGGGCTGTGGGAGTAAGTCAGCTCTTCAGCTAGCAGCTGGAAGGTGCCTGGGGTCCCTCCACACTCATATTTTGTCCCTTTTCTCCTGAATGAGAAACACAGAGTCCTAGGCAAGTATGCAGTTAGGGTTTTTTGTTTTTATTTATCAAAATACACAGAACTCTGTGTTCAGTGTTCTCTGAGCTCTCTGACAATACAAAACACGCTATTCTCAAAAAAGAAAACGTTTGCCTCACTGAAAAAGCATACCAGGGTCTTTTCAACTCTTTTGTGTGTCTATCATGCTTCAGGGCTGTGGGAGTAAGTCAGCTCTTCAGCTAGCAGCTGGAAGGTGCCTGGGGTCCCTCCACACTCATATTTTGTCCCTTTTCTCCTGAATGAGAAACACAGAGTCCTAGGCAAGTATGCACAGTTAGGGTTTTTTGTTTTTATTTATCAAAATACACAGAACTCTGTGTTCAGTGTTCTCTGAGCTCTCTGACAATACAAAACACGCTATTCTCAAAAAAGAAAACGTTTGCCTCACTGAAAAAGCATACCAGAGTCTTTTCAACTCTTTTGTGTGTCTATCCATACTAGGATAATTTCTGACTATCTATATTACCCTAGTAGTTACAATGGGATAATTCATTTCGAACTCAGCTATTGAGTGCTAAAAACATTCTCCTTGGGACAGACACCATGTCTCATCCACATAAAGACTCAGAAAGCAATATTATTTATGATTACCTATAAGGGTGGTGAGCACATTGGACATGTGAATAAGAAAAATTAGGTACATTTCAATCATCCTTAGGATGCTGTCAAAGAATGACACCATTTCCCATGAAGTCAAAGTCTTTCTCCTCTAAGTTTCACATATTCTGAACCATGTTTCAGAAAATGGGCATCATTTCTACAAACTGAATCCCATTATCACATTCAAAACATTGAAAATGTGTTCACATGGAAAAATTATATCAGCCGACCAAATTCAGAAATGTTTTAATGAGAAAGGTGGCCTGACCTGTGACAATCTCCTAAGCTTCTGGGACAGAAAAAAATCTTAGGTATTACCTAACACAAACCACAACCAACGTGCCTGACAAGCGGCTTTCTCTCAGCTGAGGAAACACACCTCATGTCAGGGATGTTCCAAGTAGCCTACTCTTTCCAACATCTGGAAGTATTTTTAACACAGAGCCCCAAACTCCCAAAGCTCCTTTCCTGGAGCACCCACTCATCACTGGCGCCTAGCTATATGGGAAAAGCCTCCTCCTTGAAGTAGGTAGCCCAGGGTTTGATGGAGTTTTTCAGAGACTTTTCTTTCACAGGTTTGTGGTACGGCTTCATTTTACTCACGGAGTCTGTCACCAATTGCCCATTGAGTACACAAGTTGTATCAGGAACAAAGGATGGAAGAGGGAACCAAACAAAGTCCCAGCCTTCATGGGACTTATATAATAGATGAAGATGGAAAATAAACAGTAAGTTTATAATACAGTGTCAGGCAATGATACATACACTGAAGGACAGTGTGATCACTCCCTTTATTAGTCCAGTATTTCCAAAATGAAAAACCTTTTTGTAATGTAAGTATAATACTCTAATGCAAGTATCTATTTACCTATACTGAATTTTCTCAAAACATGTCATGCCTTTAAACACTAGAATAACAGATAAGGACTCCTGTAACCTTAGTCACCAGTAAATCCAATACCTGGCACAAGATGTCTGCCTGCCAGGAAATCTTTAACCTCAAACCTTCAGACTCAGTAAAGTAAATAGTATTTTTTTAAATTGGTAGTTTATGTGGAAATAAACAACAGCAGTTTCCAACTGGCTTTACACTGATGCTGAATTACTGTCAAGTCGTCACTGTACTGCCTTTGCAAACTACATCACAAATCTCCAAGAGGACAGGGACTATGTCTGTCTTTCCCTTCACTCTCTCGACAAGTCAGGCAGAATACCTGTGAAGTACATAACAGGTGCTCAATAAACACTTCTTGAACAAGTAAAATGAGGAATAAATGTGTATGTATACAAAAATGATTCTTTATTCATAAAATAATTTTAGCTTTGCACAAAACCAAATGCAGACATGACCACTGCCTTCTAAAAAGGAATTTTGGGGGCAAAAATCACCATCTCAGATTCATACATAGTAGTAATATTCTTGATCAGTTCTCAAACATCTTGGTCTCAGAACACCTCTACAATCTGAAAAATTGTCAAGAACCCCCAAGAGGTTTTGCTCTTATAGGATCTACCCATCAAGGCTTACCATATTAGAAACTAAAATAAAAGTTAAGTGTGTAGTGATTCATTTACAATAATAGCAATCAACCCACAATATAGTGACATAATTCATGTTTTGTGAAAACATTTCCAAAAAAATCAGTGAGAAGAGCAACATTGTTTTAAAGTTGTGCAAATCTCTTGAAGGTCTGGCTTAGTAGAAGACAGCTAGGTATGAGTATCTGCTGCTCATTCCATCAGTAGTCATGTTACATGACGTGTAGCTTCTAGAAAACTCCACTGTACACTTATGAGATAATTAGAGTGAAAGAGGCCAACAATGTCTTAGTATTAACATGAAAGTAGTTTGGATCTGAAAGGCTTTTGAGGACCCCAGGTGCTCAGATGTGCTTTCAATCCTTTCTGAAAGTAGGTTGGGTTTTTAAAAATACAGGTATGTGTGCATATATATATCAAAGTATACAAGTTTAAAATTATGCTTTTACTTCATTTTCAGTATCTAGCTAGCACAGTTCAACAGGATGAACATAGATGTGATAGTCAATAAAAAATGAAGACACCCCTCAGATTGTCTGAATGGGCATTCCCAACAGAAGCCAGAGGATAGGGGTTGAATTATAAGAAAACTGCTATCTAAGAGCTCCATGACAAACAACTTATCACTCAAGTAATTAGGCAAATGATCAAAGCCTCTACCATGTTTGAACTGTTCCTCAAAACTCCTACCTGCACCATATACCACTTTTTCTACATCAATAACTAACTTGATCAAAGCCTATGATAGTCACACTTTAAAAATGCCTGCCCACGGCACTGCACTCTTCTGTCTGGAAGAACTCCCTTCAGTCATCCGTGAAGATGAGTCCCCTGGCCATGCCTGTCTCAGGACACCCTACCTGTGGCCACCTTGATTAGACCAGGTTGTGCACCCAACCAGGACTGGAACGACCGAATTCTCTCTCCTGGGATTGAAGACCGGGGATGCCCAGTCACCTGTGGCTAATCCCTTCAGTAGGGGAGATGTAAACACGGTAGTTGTTGAGGAATCACCTTCCATTCACCTGCCCAGGGAGAAGAAGAAAAGAAAGCGGACTGCAGACAGGGACATGAAACAGAGATACAGGCTGGAGGAGGCGTACTGCCCAGGTTCCTGGTAACCATCTGTCCTTGGGCTTCAGGAGATACTGCTTTACCCATACGCTTCTCTTGATGCCTCAGCCAGCTCAGGGGATCACTGGCAACTACCAGGGCTTCACTAAAGGCAAACACAAAGCGGAAGCCACCTGTGAGTCCTCCTCTACAACCAGGTCCCTTACAGTATCCTAGAGAGCATTACAGGTCCTCAATACACATTCAGTCTCCAAAGGCTTCCACTAGGCAAAAACATCTTTCCACTCAAGGCCATCTAGATTAGGAAATGGCATTTCCTCCAGCTTTTCATCCCTGGAGGGCAAATGTACAGATGACTGCAGTTGGCAATTGACTCTGTGGGTTAGTGAATGCTGAGGACGCACACCCGGGGACTTGAAGAAGAGAAATCCCCAGGTGCAGGGAAGGAGACTGGCAATCACGCTTCCACTCACCTGCCCATTATGCACGCCTCTAAATCACCGCTCCCCAGAGCCCTGACCCGCAGTGACTAGAAGGGCAACCCACTTTTCAAAGTGCCAATTTTTAGCAGTTGGAAACAATAAACGTGGAGGGCATGAAGCTGCTGGAAGATCGATTTCTCCCTAGCTGTTTCTGAAAGTTGAAAAATGCCCCATGGCTAGTGGGACAGCAGGGATGTCACGTAACAGCCGTGGAAATCTGGTGCAACCCCCACCTGGGAGAAGCTGTGTGATGTTCAGCTGTCAACGCAACTCCCTGGGCCTCAGTTTTGACAGGTGCCGAATAAGGAGGTGGAACTCCTGAACACCCTTTCAAATTTTTACAGTCTTTGTGAGCCGGAAAGATTTACACAGAACTTCATCTTGATTTTATTACCTGTAGTTCATCTTCTTGTGGCAGGGCCAGGGGCAGGCTGTGCTCAGAAGTAAGTGGCTCTCTCTCTAGAAGACTGAGGAGGCACTGAAAACCCAGTGTACCTCTCTCACTGCTCGGCCACAGGGAAGGCCTGGAGCTCTTCTGCTCCGGAGCCACCTGGACTCAAGCATTTTTCTAGATGTTCTCAGTCAAAAGGCAAACACCTGCATTGCCCGTTGTCTGTCACTGAGGGCATCAGCCTGGATTCGCCTCTGGATTCCCTAGGACCGACATCTGGAATAGCATCCAGCGAAGCGCAACCCCCAGGAAAGGCCTGGAGCCCAGGGCGCTGCGGCAGCAGACAGGCCTGCGCAGCGAGCATGCAGGGGAGCCCCCACGAGGCCAGGTGGGGAGCCAGGCCGGGGCCAGCTGCATCTGCTTTGGGAGGCATCTGTCAGCTTCCGGCACCGAGCCAGGCTTCACTTCGTTTTGACTCACCTGATTCTCTTCTGCTCTTCAGAAGGAAGGAGATTCTCTGACCAGACTCCAGGGCTCTGTCCTCAGTGCCAGGCGAGCCTCCTGTCGGGCCTCTGTAGGAGGAGGACTTCCCTAGAAGCAGCCCTAGCCTCAGCTTCTACCACCGTGACAAAAGCACTAGAAGGCCTCCCTGGAAAACACGGTCCTGTTCTGCTGTGGAGAGGCTGCCTAGAGCCACTGAGGCCCCTGCCCTCGCGGGGATACATGGCTCTTCCCACGCTGGCCAGTGGAACAATTTTCCTTCTGCACTTGTGTGGGTAAAATGAAGGTTCCCGTGGCCAGGATTCCCACCTGGCCCTGGTTGGG